CCTAAAAACGTTTGCTATGCGTGCTACGACTCACTTAACAAAGCTTACGATTTCCTTGATAAGGTGAAGAAGGCACAGGATAAGCTAAAGCATATTTTAATTGACTATTTCCCGGCCGACGAAAGCTCGAAACTCGACTTTTCTTTCGATGATGATCGGGCTGCTTTGGACGAGTTTTTCGGCGAAACCCACGATGTCCCCGAAGTAAAATCAGAGGTCTCACCAGCCAAACCTAAGTTCGAAAGCACTGACTCCGATATTGAAGTAAAACTTGAACCGAAAGAAGAATTTCCAGACCCAACAGCTACAAACCACGATTCTTTACCCATTATTACACAAAACAGTAGCGAAAACTTGAGCATTCAAGATATCTTAGACTCAGCCTTATGTAAAACAGGGCCATCACATATTTACGCTAAAGAAGTCAAGGAGGTCAACAAAAAGACGAAATCATGGAAGGAATTCACTTGGCTGTGTGCGTTTTGTGCTGTTGAGTTCTCAGATCTTGATGTTCTTAGGTCACACAGTAAAGTGACGCACAGCAAGTGTGCAGCGTTTTCATGTGCCGATTGTAAATCATTTACTAAGAGTGATAGTCTGGATTCATTTGTCAAACATGTCCGTAAGCATAGGAAAGGTCTCAGGTATGATATTTACTATTTTTGTCAATAACAGTAGTTCCTAAGTAAACCAGTAGTAGCACCGTGCGATGTTGCACCCTAATTCAACCAACTAAGGAATACTCTTAGGGATTATCATCCAGGGAATGGGCAGCTGTATTCTTTGTAAATACAATATCTTGCACTTTAATATTGTATTATGGTAAACCAGTAGACCAGTGTAGTGTAGTAACTGAGGCTGCTCACAGGATCTCTATGACATTGTTTCCAGTTTGGTTATAAATAATAATAAGGATATTTATTCAGTAACATAACACTGTAGGCAGGCTTTACCGCTTGATAGTCCAGCAGGAAGGTGTTTCTAGAGGACATATCTAGTAAATCTATGTTAATGTCTATGATTATTTGATGGTTTTTGTTTAGCAACCATGACTTAGCAAATGATAGGCAGCATAAACAGAATCTGAAAAATAAGATCGAAAAATCCCTTCAGTTCAGATCACTTGTACAGTCTGTCTTATTTATATATTTTTCCATGCTTTTCAGGGACCGATGTCACTACTGCGATGAGAATGTTAAATCAGAAGAAATGAAGGATCATTTGAAGGAGCATCACAAAAACAACATACCGTGTCCGATGTGTGGAGAAATACTTCCAAATCAAGAGTCACTGATGCTACATCACGCAGAATTCAAAGCGGTCAAACAAATACGAAAGCCTAGACGTAAAAAGGGGACACCGATCACCATTGAAGACTTAACTTGCCATATTTGTAAAAATATCTATAAAAATCCTAATAGTTTAAGAGATCACATAAAACGTCACACAACAGAACGCAAAAGAGATTACACTTGTGACCGTTGCGGGAAAACTTTCTACAACAAAGGAACGTTAACAACCCATGTAATGGCTCATGATCAAATCCGTCGTCACGTATGTAGAATATGTAACAAATCATTTGTGTTTCCCAATATGTTACGAAGGCATGTTGAAATGCATTCAGGTATCAAACCGTTTTCTTGCGAGATCTGTGGACGATGTTTCAGACTACAATATCAATTGAACGCTCATAAGATTGTTCACACGGATTCCATGCCACATGTGTGTAAATATTGCAATAAAGCGTTCCGTTTCAAGCAGATTTTGAAGAATCATGAACGTCAGCACACCGGAGCCAAACCTTATAGCTGTGATCACTGTTGCATGGAGTTTTCTAACTGGTCCAATTACAATAAGCATATGAAACGCAGACACAATTTAGATACGTCCAAAAAGAAGATTACTCCACAAGGAGTCTTTCCGTTCAATTCCGCTACCGGGCAGATAATACAACTAGAAGTTCAGGGTATGGAGGAATGGAAAAGTAAGGTTATGATACCGGCGAAACGAGGTAAGAAAAAGAAGGAAGAAATAAAACAAGAGACTGTTGAAAATGCGGCATCCTAATTCTAAAAATTTGTTTTAACTGTAGAAATTATGTTTGCTGTTTGCACACAGTGTGACCAAGAGTTTTCTTGCTTATGTGGATGTATGCCTATAATAAAAGGTATCTACTATTTGTACTTAGGTACTTTCATAGAAATTATGTGCCATTACAGCCATACATTCCAAATGTCGACAGAATAATAAAATTTCTTATCGAGAGTTTACTGGTAAAAATGGTTATCTGCTGTACCATTGTATGGCTGATAATCATTTTATTTTCATAATCTTGCCCAAAAGTTTCAAGAATTTGCAATTTTATAGTCAGTATAAAACACATTCAAAATAATTTCAATTGTTATATCACGCCTATTTAATTAATATTGTATTTTTAAAAGCATTTAGATATGAAAAATAAGTTTTATTATAAAATAACATTAATTTTATATTTTAAATAATTTATTATGTTTTGTATGTTTTATGAAATTGACAGTATTTTGTAAAAAATAGCCATACTTTATAAATATTTTAGGGTTAAATAAATGTATATGATGAATAAAGTGCACTTTTAACACGTTCGCGTACGGTACGTCATATGACGTCGAAGAAATGTCCCCCTAGATTTGCACTATATTTTTCCATACAAACTGAATGGACGTGAAGGAACGTTGTGATTACACCAAATCTCACATCTTATTAGCATGCGTCACATACGTCAATAAACGTCGACGTCATAAAACGTTGCTGCATATTGCATACATTTTAAGCTACACGTTTGTAAATAACGTGTAAAGACGTCGACGTCATGAAACGTTGCTTCATATTGCATACATTTTAAGCTTGACGTTTGTAACTAACGTTTGAAGACGTCGACGTCTATGGACGTTGTGTTGTATCCTGTAGATAAGAAACTGATACTTCGAAGCACTTACGTGAGGTCACGTAACGTTTATTAACGTTCATGGCCTTAGTATATGTTTTACTTGCATAACATGAAACATAAACGTGAAATCACGTTGACGTGTATACAATTTACACAAATTATCTGCTAGCAGACGTAGTTTTGGTTACAGTGTCTTGTACAATTTACTTGTCCCGCTTTAGAGCATAACTGCCACTTATAGAAGCACTTTGAAGACTCTTAGTACTTCTTCAGTACAGTACCATCAGCATAAGCCAGATGATCACGTTTAAGTTTGTAAAGCTGCTATGTACCTGGTGTGAAGATAGATGGCGTGGCAATAATAAAGCAAACAAGTGCTGCCGATGCCAACTGCTTCGCTACATTTCGCACAATTACTACAGAAAACTGGCCTGAAGGACTGCCTAGGACCACTAGATGGGTCTATTGCGTCCATCATTCAACTAACTGCGTTTTCTGACCCATGTTTCATATATGTGCCGAGTGGTAGCGGCTAAGGATTCTGCCACCCCTATTCTACTCAGAGTGTTTCGTAAAAGGCGACGACGTCGATTTTGAAATATCTGCCGACTATTGTCGTGTACTGTAGCATTCCCAAAGAGGGTTGGCAGGGGTGACCGGTCGTAAAATGAAGCCAAATCCTTTTTCCACATGATTTTGTGTTCAAACAAAACCTGTTGCGCCGACCTAAAGTAATTGGGAAAAAGACAGTAAGATAATGATGATTTCATATACGTGGGAACAGTACCTATAAGGAAAAGCCAATGAGGCAGGATCTCTTATGGTGGCTATAAACGATACGAATATCCTGACTCGGACGGACGGAGAAGAATCAGAGGAAGCAGGAACGGCGAGTGCTCAACCTCCACCACCAAATGAACCACCAGAATCACCAGGATCAAGAAAAACCCCACCGCCAAATGCCACCCTTGGATTCATTGAAAATGTTTGGAGATCTCAGATTAATCCTCAACAGGAGAAGCCGAAGGTCCTTGAGATAAGTGAAAGAAAAAGCAGGCTTTCTAGATGCGGACAGAATGATCCTGATCCAGGCGATAAGGATTCTAACTGAAGCCCAAGCCGCGATCTGCTCTGGAACGGGTGCAGCTAGTTTCTTTGACCCACTAGTGATAGTAGTGACTATAGACAGCAAGATTTGTTCTGGAAACAATGCAAGTATTTTGATAAATTACGTAAAGTATCTGGAATCTTTTCAAAATTCCTTAACTTCGATACCTTTTTATTTCAGGTTTAGTTGATTTTTATTATAAGCAAGACTTTAGAGACTCCAGGGTGGTTTAGGTTTACGATACAAACACTAACATCAAATAATAGACGTGCGCTACATAATGGTGAGCATGGTGGAAAAATGTTTGACTTTTCATATTACAGCTGACGTCTAGAGACGTTGTTCACTATTATGTAGGTCAATAAAAATGTGTCGGTGACCTAGTATGGATGTAGCAAAATTCTATATTACGTGGCACTAGAAGTATAGGAGTTCGATGTGAGGTGGCGCAATGACGTAGCTAATGGAAAAAATAGAGTGAATCGACGTGTTATAACGTTCCTGCGATTTACTGGAGATTAAAAAACGACGTGATCTGACGTTGTGTCACAACGCATAGATTTTTTTTTGACGTCATATGACGTACCGTACGCGAACGTGTTAATATGTTTTGTATTAATTTAAAAGTATCAGATCAACCGCAAAACAGTATTTTTCCTAAATAAGCAAATGAAAAGTCCAAGTACAAAAAATACTAAATAAATATAAATAAAAATATTTTTCAGAGATAAATTAAAAGCCATATTCAGATAAGTATATTTTTATTATAAAAACATCAGTAACATAGGAGTAAAAGGCATTTAGAGGAACAGCCCAGACAAAAAACCTGAACAAAAGCATTTTTTTTGAGGTATATGTGCATTTTTCAATTTTGTATTATGTATGATACAAATACAAGGAATTAGTTGCAAAACTCCCTGTAGATGGAGCCCTGCCACGCGTTAGTGGCCAAGAGGCTAAGATTGAGCCGCGGTAGCCCAGATGTTAGAGGCGTCGCCAGTAAACTGAATGGCGAAAGTCGCATGTTCAAATCCTGCCCGCGGTAGAAAGTTTTACATGTCTTCCAAAATTAAAAATAAGTACATTAGAAACTGCGTCCATACGGACTACTGGTGCGAATCTGCGAGGCATCAGTCTCATGAGTGTCTTACTACGACAAACTCGGCATGAGTTTCGTGCTCTACGATTAGCTTCTTGTAACCAAACAGGGCAATCGCTAAACTTTGTTGTTCAGTTTTTACACTGTTCAGAGTTACGTTGGCAATCGAACATCAATACCAACTTTATGAAGTTCAGTTTTTACGCTGCACTTGTAAGGGTTACGTTCTCTTTTGCTAGTTCAGCGTATAAACTGTGAAAATAGATTCCATACAAAGAATATTCTACATAGAAAATTAAACAAATCGTCTAAAATATGTAAGATAATTGAAGATAATACAAATAATTCTTTACATCGATTTAATAGGTACTATCAGCACCGCAACCTGCCGATTGGATGCTGATATTTCCTACCTTAGATTGCTACTAATACAGGGTTATTTTTTTATCACCCAGAAAAATTTGCAGGTTGATTCTACTCATGACTCATGATTCTGAACAACTTTTACTGTGGGGCGACACGCAAATTCCAAAAAGAATTTTTGTTTCTCCATTACAATTTTGCCGAGTAGTATGAATTTTTCAATGGAACATCCAATTTTTTTTGCGAATCCGCAGGGGGCCCCTAAGTAAAAGTTGTTCAGAATCGTAAGTAGAATCACCCTGCAAATTTTCTTGGGTGATAAAAAATAACCCTGTATGTATGTAAAACCTGTTTCATAGAAGAAAGGGACCCGAAATGGCAACTTTGCTGTTTGCGTCTTTTTCATATTACATGACATGTGAGCAAGATGTCAACAATAATGTTGCCATTTCGGGTCCCCTTCTATGAATCAGGTAGTATGGCAATAATATAAACTTTCCAATGAGTTGATATAAAGTAAGTAAACAAACTAGACATAGAGACAACTGACCATTATAAATAAATTTTCTCTCATCCATCATCAAATTATAAATAGGAAAGATTTGTTTTTGTTTGCTTGTTATACAATAATACAATGCAATATATCAATCAATAAACTCCAAAACTACCGATTTCAAAAAATCTTTTACCGTAGAATAGAAAAGCTACGACATACCTACCTGAGTTACATAGGCTACTTTTTACCACGGGAAAACGGTAAGTAGCGTGTGATACCGCTGGGCTGGGCTCCTCCAGAAAGACAGATCATAAATGTACCTCAGTTATAGTTGGTTGATATTTTTAACATTCTTTATCCCATTTCATTGGCCGGTTTATAATTGTGACCATAAAATACCATGAAAGCATAAAATCAACATGTTTTTTTCGAAATTTAGATAAAGCACATTGTTTTATTATTATTTATTATACCTCAGTTTACAATGAAAATTTACACAAAAGTACACAAGGTTTGGATTTAAGATAAGCCCAAAATTAACAGCATACCTATTATTTTTATTAACTATTATATTTATTAACTATAATTTGGTAGTGTGCGTATCAAAAGCTTCAGCGAGGATGGCAATAGATATGTTAATCCTTCTTTTTCTAGCCGTGTGGGACATCGAGTATATAGACGACCCGATGAACTCTTTTACAGTACAGTCGCTCGAATAGGCCATATTTGACAGCTGTCAAAATCATGTTAATGTCATGTTGGGACAAGGACTATTTTTCATTGTTGACATGTCTTATAATTTTGACAGCTGTTAAATACGGTCTATTTGGACGGCTGTACTTTAGGATCTACGAATATTTAGCACAATTTAATGCGCGCCGCTTTTAGCTGCAATCTGTGTGTTTCATGCCAACAGTTCAGACTTTATTTAACTACCTTATACAGGGTGTTAAGTACTGAAAGATTTTGAAAAATATTTTGACTATTCAGTACCTAATTGTTAAAAACAATCAACATTTTAACATACTTTACTATACTTGTTGCAGTATTTTTCCTGCCATCCTGTATAGTTTACATGCAATATTCTAACAAAAACGGCGCGCGCTAAATTGCGATAGAAATCAAGCATGCTATATCTTGCAATCAAAAGTACTTAGATGACACATTATGGAGGCTATAAAAAGGGCTAACACTCATTCATAATCATTATCATTTCGTTTGAAAATGCATTCTAATATTGTGCATTTCGAAACACAGGATTTACTATAAGTATAGCACTTTTCAAAGATTTCTCATTATAAGTACACTATTTCTTATTTATTCTTCAATATCAAAACTACCACTTTAGAAGCACCATAGTATCTACAAATTCCAACAATCATTTTAACCTTTTTCGTCTTCGCCGTACATAACCTTAATTTAAAGTTTACTTGGACCAAGAACACCAAATTAACAATTTAGATAAAAGGGTCCTTGCTTTTTTCCCAAGCAAAGTAAATTTTGGAAAATAATAACTTAGAGAAAAAAAACGTTATAGTCCGTCAGGTTCGTGCGCGACCTTCCTGCGGGGTACAGACGGTTGGGGGGCGAGTAAGCACGTCATTTTAATATGACGTGCGGCGCGGATGCGCGCGTTTCCCTTCCCCGCTACACCTCCCGCTACCCGCTGACATCACCCCTCCCAACGTCTGTCACCCCTAGGGAGGGTCGCGCACGAACTTGCAGGACTATAGGTAATCGTTTTTTCAAATCTACTAAGATTTACAATAAAAAAAATATTGGACCAAAGGCACCCCTTTTCATAGAGGTTTACGTTAAAATTTATCGAAAATTATAAACAAAATGCAGAAATTATTTAAACATTGTCTTTTCGGAATTACAGCTCAATATTTTTTATACGCCTTAAGATATCAAAGTACAAAACCGTGAATTTCCAGTCCAGGGTCCCAAGTCTGCTAATTTTTAGCCATTGTAATGCCAGCGACACTCAACTTTCATTCAATTGCCTCTGCGATATTCTATACTAAAAACTTTTAGCAGAATACGATGCTACCAAAACCATCGACACAAACTTAAACGATTTTCATTTAGCAGACTTCGGCCCCTGGAATCTCACACTAGCATTCTAAAGTCCTCAAGTCTCATATCAAACAGAACGCAGCCATAAGGACCCTGCTATAAGGTCCGAAACGCTTTGATCACTCCACCCTCTCCTCTTCTTGGACTTCGGGCGGCGCTTCCTGGATCTCCTGCTCGTCTCTCACCACTCTTTCCCCCTCTCTTGTATTCTGCAACTCTATTACTGGATCCGCGGTGGCTTCCGCTAGGTTTGTGACAGATTTTGATTTGAAACACTGGAAGTCTACGTGGCGACTTTTGGCCTCCTCCTTTTCCCAAGACATGTGGATGAAGGGTCGTTGTACGTAGTTGTATATGACCTCGGCGCGACCGCCGGGACGTTTGCGCACCTTTTCTTTGTAAGTCGGGTAGCCTTCGACGCCTAAACGGATCTTTTTGAGACCTCGCTCCTTCATTACTTGTTTTGCTACGTCTCTGTAAAGGAGAAAATTGTATTATTTAATAATACGATTGACGTGGTGTATGTCAATAACCCTTGCAGGGTAGGCAGAGCGTAAACGGCTGTAAAAACGGCTATTTAGTGGTGTAAATTAGTCGGAAGAAGACTAGTGTATACCATAGTATCACATTGTCATTCTGTCACCTAAAACTGCAATACACATCAACTCTCAAATCGGGTGAGAGTGAGACCCATGTAAAGCAGTGGACTGTTGTGGCTGGTAAGGATTTATTTACACAGGGTATAAAAGTGATAAAAAATTATATCAAAAGCAAAGAGGACAGCTTTTATAATTTGCTACCTTTAATACAAAATATATCACAGTGAGTCTGAACTTTAGTTTACTGGAATTAAAATACACTTGCTAAATACGTCACATGCAGTTTCGCCGCGACGGCCCGAAGGATAAATTACTATAATGGTCCATACTTCGTATCTCGTACTGGGTGATTCTTTTTAAGTGGTCCAAAGAAAACTAAGATTCTAGACGTCCTAAGCTACTAATCAAGCAAAATGAATAATAAGCGTGGAAGGATGCTAGATTGGAATCCTTGGATTGCCAGAACTTACACTTTTTCTTTGGATCACTTAAAAAGGGGCACCCTGTATAAAATTATTGCACGTTTTTTAGACTGACCTGTTTTCGATATATTTGAAGAACCTATACAGCGGTGTGGACAGCACGGTTTGACTGTACTCGTCGCCCATTTGCGGAGGGTACTGCTCGTCCCATTCTACTGAATCATCGTCCAGTAGCACCTGCAATACAAGAGAAAAACATCATCATCTGCCACTGCCTGCCCATATCCCTTATCATCATCATCTTCCTGCCCTTATCCCAATTACTTGAGGTCGGCGCAACACGTTTCGTTGAACACAAAATCGTGTTGCAAAAGGATTTGGCTGAATTTTACGGCCGGCCGCCTACCAGACGTCAACCCTCCTTGGGAATGCTTTTGTGGTGGATTAACCGCCACCATACGGTTGGCCCTGGCTGTTTGGGTAGGGTTCATCCCTCGGTCGCCTCTTACGACCCCCACGGGAAGAGAGGGGGTGGTGATATTCTACTCTGCCGTCACCACACGGCATTCACCATCCTTATTATTGTAAAATCAGGGCTCAGTTGGCAGAGCAGTGGCACGGTATCACACGGTCCTGGATTCAATCTTGGCGGTGTGTATACCCTTTCCAATCACAACTGCGAAACATATAAGCCTTGCAATTTTTAACTGAATGCCTCTAGTGACAACACTTGTAACACTTTCCTTTCACCATGACGAGAGTCAACGAGGTTTTAAGCATGATTGTAGGGAACATGGAAGATGACGGGTGAAAGAGTAAGATACAGATGTATGAAAGGGATGGAAGATAAGGATTTAAGATGTCAGTGTGAAAAGAAGACGTTGTAAATATTAGACGTTATAAAATATTGTACCTAAGAATCAGATAGTTTTACTTCGCCACTCTCCACCCGTACAGGGAGTAACAGAAAGGGTATAACAAGCCGAA